CCCCCGCTCCTGCCCACCTCCACCCGGCGGGTATAAGTCACTGTGGCGATCAGTGAGCCGGGATCCTCAGCCAGCTGCCCCCGTCCTGGGAAGGTCCACGACAGACTGCCGGCCTGAGATGGACAGGTCAGAGCCTCACTTCCAACTGACATTCGGGGCGTTTATTCATATCTTGTGCCCGACATTGTAATTTTGGCATGAAGCTGTGGTTGAAACTTGCGTTGCCACAGGACTGTCAGTTTTCTAAAAATGAGCAGAAAATACAAGGGCTCTACCCAACTTTCCATCCAGGGGCAGGTTATCTAACCAACACTGAATATATTTTAAAATAGAAGTGAGAGACAAAAATAAAGTTGCATTTTGATCACATCTCACAAGTTGTGAATACAAAATACTGGTTCTGGCTCATTTTAAATGAGCAAAGGCTCCTTTGCACAATGGAATCCAGGGGCCAGAGGGACTCAATAGGATTATTCATGTTGAGTCACAGGAAAAGATTTCAACTCTGAAGAACATAACACTTTGCTTCAGGACCCCAAATTATCCAATCAACTACCAAGTGCTTATTGTCTATTTTGTGTGAAATCCTGTTGGGTACTTTGAAGAATACCTAACATTCCTTTATTCAGGTCAGTAACACTTCCCACCCAGCATGAAGCCTTACCCATAACATACTCTCAAACATATTTTCGATCTAATTCTTCTTTACAAGATACTTAACACCAAGGGATGTGGCATTTTTCCAATGTTGACAACATTTCAGCTGAGAAATCCCCGTATTTCTAGAAAGCAGAGCAAACCTGAATGGAGAGTGGTTATGATCTCACTGTGTGTAACCCTGTAAAGTGCTGCTGAATGGTCTAATAGGAGAGAGTAGAATCCAAACCAGAAACATGTAAATAGCGTTCTTCGTGCCAGTAGCTGTGGGGCCCAGTAAGAAAAAGATTGTGCACAGGAGGCCTGGACTTGGAATCTACCACCGTCATTCAACAGACCTCAGGTCCCTACACTGTCTCCTGCGGACTTGGGGTGCCAGGCTGACCACCTAAGAGTGGCAGGGACCCTCAAAAGGACGATTCACCGCTGACCCCACCCCCTGCAGTGGGCAGCCCCCATATGTTTGACTCCCCCCAAACTTCATTACTAATAGCCTACTGTTGAAGCCTTTACTTTGTTAACGTAAAAACACAGTCGCCTAATACACATTTTGTATATTACGTGTATTATATACTATATTCTTACAATAAAGTTAGCTGGAGAAAATGTTTTTTCAAATTGTTACAAATCTCAATTTTCCCAGTATGTTGAAAATACGTGTGTGGGCTCGCGCAGCTCAAGCCCGTGTTCAGGGTCTGCTGTACAGTCAGACGCCCTTGGTAAGCTCTACGGGGCTGTCCAGCGCGGGGGCTGAAATTGAACGCGGCCGTCTCACATGCTCAGGCTGCCTGAGTTTCACGTGCAGCGCTGTTTCCCAGCCAGGTCCCGGGAGGAGGAGACGGGCGCGGTAAGCACCCAGTCCAAGGCTGTGCAGGGCCGCATCCTGACCCACCCCTGACCCCAAGCACTAAGCTGCCCGCCCGCTGGCTCAGCAGAGTTGCGGAGCAGAGCCCGGACTCGCCAACGGCGGAAATCGCGGTCAGGTAGGCCACTCCGCGCCCCGCCCCCGGAGGCCGAGCCCGCGCTTCCCTCTCCGCCCGGGCCTCGCACTCCCCGCCTACCGCCAGCCAGGCTCCGCCCACCACCACCCAATCCCCGCCCACTGCCGTCCCGCCGGCCTCAGCGTTTCTACGCACGCGCCGGGAGCCGCGCAAGCTCAGTGGCAGGCGCGGCTCCGGCCCCGCCTCGCCCGGCCCGCCCCGCTTTGCCCCACGCCGCCGAAGGCCCGGCTGAACCGCGCAGCTGGTCGGTACTTGGAGCTGGGCTCGGGGCTCGGGGCTGGCCGGAAGCCCCCTGCCTGCTCCCGCTCCCGGCGCGTCTCCTGGCCCGCGCCGCCCGCCCAGCGGTGTCCTGGCTGTGCGGGCCGGCGGCTCCGGGGCCCGGGTAGGTAGTTTGTGTATGTTTGCCATGGAAACGCCGACCGCGCGAGCGGGACGAAGGTGCGGCGTCCTGCCGCGGCCTGGCTGGGGGCCCGGAGTGCAGAGCCGCTGCGCGCGGGCGGAGAGGCTCCCGCCGCCGGTTGGCCGGGGCTTCCCCCCGCCGCCGCCGTTCCGACCCGGTAGCGGAGGAGAGGCGGCGAGAGCCCCGTGCATGCCCGGGCTGGGCCTCGGCTCTTCGTTTCTCCACCGAAGCATTTAAGCCAAGTGCGCGGTCCTAGCCCAGGAATATGTGCTGGATGAGAGGGCGGTTGGCTAAGGGCTTTGGGCGACAGTGTGGCTCGGCTGAAGTCACACGATTGTACTGGGCTCTTCCAGGTGCGGATGAAGCCCAGCGAGTGTGTTGCACAGTACACATTCACATCCAACGGTTGCACGACCCGTGCCTCTGCTCTTTGTATCCTGTTTTGAGCATTTATCAATTCTGATAAGTGGTTGGTTGGCATAGCTGACGTTCAATAAAATACTTAATCAAAATTCTGTTTTCATAAAGGAAACACTCCCATTTAAGTTTTTAAACTTAAAAATTGTTTGCAAACACTGAGCAAGTCATCCCCTACTGCAATTTCTTTGTTTAGTTTTTAATTCATAGGGGAAGTTTTTGGTGTATCCTTTTATTTGCATAGCACTTGGACAGTACTTAACGTTTTTTAAGGGCCAGGCACCATGCAAAAGTACTTCACATGAATGTTGTCATTTAATTCTCAAAATAATCCTATGAAGCAATTACTATTATTATGTGCATTTTACAGAGGAGGCAACTAGCGCTTGGCGATGTTAGAAGCCTTGCCCACGGTTATGTAGCTTTGAATTGTAAGGGAGCGTTTGAACCCTTCCTCCAGCGTCTAAGCGCTTACCCATTGGCCCCCTGGAATGCTCATAGTAACACAAAAGTCATTCAAAATCCTGGCGAGGGTCTTGAGTATTTGATCTGTAGGGTTATGTGGAGATGCCCAGTCTTTGCTGTCGGGAACATTCCGATGGGGCAGTGCTGCATTTGGCAAGAAGGCTCTTGGTTCGGCAAAGATAAACACAGGTGTTTATAAATAAGTATAAGCTTACAAATAATGTTTCTGTAACAAACGTTTCAGAGAAGCCAGGCCGCCTTTGTGTGGGGATTTTTTCCCAGCTCCGGTGTGCACTTGAAAGTGTAGTCCGGCAACTGCACAGGTGTTGACCTTCAGCCTCGCCTCACATGAAGAACTGGGGCCAGAGTCTGGTGGGGCGACACCAGGTGTAGAGGCAGTTCTGACGCAGTGGGAGGGCGTGCCGACAGAGGCCAGCCTGCAGGTGTGTGAAGCCCAGGGGGGGACACCTACCCGAGCCGGGAGAGGCACACCCAGGACGCTTTCTTGAGTACTCCTGAGCAAGCCAGGCGACTGTAACAACCGCCTGAGTGTGTCCTTTCCACTCTTCCCTCCTTTCCTTCCTGCCCATCCCTGCCAGACCACATCATGCCTTAACATATTTTAATTTGCTCGGCAGCTTTTATTTAATTTCTTGACCTGCCCTCCAGTTCTCTTCCTGGTCCTACTACAGTTTTCATTTCCAGGGCTCCTTCGTGTCCAACACACACTCCGTGTAATATACTAGGCCTGCCATGGTTTTTGTTAGTTGTTTAATATACATAATTCTGCAGGCTTTGCCTGAATTCAAACTCCTCTGTCAAGAATTCCTAGAATAGTATTGCTTATCTAGTAATTTTGTAGTGTTCCCCCTCAACACCTGGCCTTTCCATATGAAAGCCATAGCATATTTTTTGTAGTTTTCATCATCCTCTTCTCCTTAAAAACAAACACCCTGGGTGGGGCCTGGGTAGATCTAAACAAATGTTTGTTGCCTGTTGTTATATAACAACCTAGTGTGTAGAATCCTAACATAGTAAATCCCCTTATTTCTCTAAGGAATCAGCTGTTGATTCTTCTTATGGAAATGGACTCTTTTCAGTTTCCTTGGGCATATATCACAAAACGTTTTTTCTTTTTTGCAGAAGTTATTCTAAAACTGGGCAGCCAAAATATATGAATAATTTCCAGACCTCTGTCTCCCTTGAGGTACAACATTTTCAGGAGGTTAGAGGTTTATTGTTTAATAAACACATAATACCATGTACTAATTGGAATTAAGTTTCTAAAATCTCAGCGTTTTGAAGTTTAGAGCGGTCAGGTGTCTTACCACGCTAACCAGGCCTCTGTGGGCCTCGGCAGCATCAGAAGGGCCTGCGTTGTCATGGGCCCTGTGCATGTCGGACCGAGAGGTGGCCCAGGAAAGGAGCATCTGATGTGGGTGTTTGGTGTTTATTCATCGAGGATGTACCTCAAATTGAAGGTGATTTGAGTCAGTTTGTCCACATACACCATGGGCAAGTGTGGGGCTGAACTTTTTGTCTGATTTACAGATTACATTTGTAAAAGCAAATACAGTTTGGAAATAGGCCCGTCTCTCTCAATTTAACCTTATATTAGCATTTTGTGTGGAGGGCAGTAGGAATGAAAAGGAAATGTTAGGGAGACATTTTAACAGAGCTCCCCCTGCCCCCGCCCCCAACCCCAGTATTCCTTGGGAGATCTGAGAACATGATAGGGTTTTCTCGTCGGCGTCTGTCCTTCGTGATTCTTCGTCTTTTCTCCCCAGGGTCTGCTGCTACTTTGGGTCTCTTCCCTCAGTCACATACATTCCCGCTGGCATAACTGTGCCCATCAGCCTGTTACCATTGAAAGCTCTTCTCCCATCCTGATCTTCTAATTGTAACTGCCTGGTAGATTTTTAATTAAAAATCGCCTATGATTTTTTTAAGCTTCAACATTCAGGAATCGCTTACACATGTATGGATGGGTTTAAACACTGTCTAAACTACCGGATGAAAATAGTTGAGTTTTTGAAAAAAATAGTTGGTTATGTTTTCAGGGTGTGGTGTCCACCTGAAGACGGTTTTACTTTAAAAGGCAAGATGCTGTCTCCAAACAATAAAAAGCTAGAAAAGCTGGATCCGTTTTACCGACCGTCAGCGTCCAAGCAGAAGACCAGTGCAGAAATCATAAGTGAAGCACGAAATGCCTTAAGAGCGGTCAGGACCCAGAGACCATTCACACCCCGGGAAGACCAGAGGACGCTATTCGGGCCCGCCTCTTCGAGGACACCAGAAAGCAGGCCTCCTTCCTCCTTCAGGTAGTGCCGCTGCCTTGCCCGCACACTCAGATCTGTCAGCCACCACGCGGCATTCGCCCTTAGTTCTAGCTGCCTTTTTAGTCTGACTTCTCATTTAACCTCTCCTATCTGTTCAGGATTCCTAAAGATAACCCCAGACCCTGGGTGCAAGAAGTTGCTTTAGATAGAGATGGCTAATAGTGATTGTCATGGCGACTTTATACCGTGGTACGAAGCTTTAAAGACTGTTTACATGTCTTTTCATTATTCAATATTTTTTATCCTTCTAAAAGCAATGAGAGGACTTTAATCATTTTTAAGTACAATGATTTTCTGAACTTGCTTCTTCCGCAAGGCTGATGCATCAAATGATTTTACTTGTTTTGGGGCTGGTGTGAATAGAAGAAAAGATTCTTTACAAACTGACATTTCTGTTCCATCTCCTGTGTAGCCTCCACACATCCAGTTTCGAGCCGTCTGATTCCAGGCCCGCCTCTGGCGCGCGGCTCAGTCCCCTGGAACTCGTGAGTATCTCAGAGCACCGTGGACGCTGCAAACTAGAATTGGCTAGAATACTTGGGATCAGCACTTAGATATCCTAAGAAAATGATCACATAGCCCAAAACATACTAATCACTTAAATTGAAAGGAAATTCTTTTATACTTTTTCAAATATATGGTTAGTGTCTAATGACATACTGCTATTATTTACCTATAGTTTGATAATAAAAAATTTTAGAAATCTATAATAACCTGGCAAACAGTGTTTCACAATTTTTTTTGTTTTTTGATAGTTATGTGTATATATACTTTTTAATATATATATATAAGCAAATCACGCATGTGCATGCAGAGTCAGAGACATATGTCACAAAAAATTCCAGCTGTTTCCTGTCTTCTTATTCTTCATTCTCCCCTCCCCAGTGGCTCTCAGTTTAAACTGTTTTGGCACATTCTTTTGGTATTTACATCCAAATTTTTAAATAACACAGTGACTTGCTGCTCTCTGACTTATGAGCTTGAGGAATTATCTAATGACTTCCCATAAGGAAGATAAAAATTTAACTCTTGTCTGTCTTCCCACACCTCCTCCCAACACCCTTTCTGTCCCCACGGCCTCTCCCAATGGAGATAAATCATAAGTTTGGTTAGACCACTTTATGATTGTATAACCCCTGTTATAGCTGAGCCTTGAACTAATGATGATTAATGATGATTACTTCTTCCCTGGACCACTTTTTGTTTTTCCTGGCGTTAAAAATCGTCCTGCTTTTTCAGTTTTGTATTACTACTGTTTCACCCCAAAACTCCTCCCCAGTGGTCCAAATCTCCTTTGTACATCCAGGCACCCGCGGTACCCTGCTGCCCCGTCTCCTGGGAGGACTTTCCGCACCCCCTCCCGATCCGCCTGCCCTGGGCGTCTGACGCAGCGCGCCACTCCCTCTGGTGCTGGCCTTCCTGCTAACTGTACCCCAAGACCTCACTGATGGGCTCTTGTTTGGGGAGCACTCCCCCTGGGTAACTTCTTGAGAAAGTGTGTATGGGAAGTAAATTATTTGAGTGCTGTGTTTTCTCTCTCAAAGTTTGTCGGATTTTTTCTCTTTGTTCCTGGCGTTCTGAAATGTCACGATATCGGCCCTCTGTGTAGGCCATTGTCATCCACCACGCTGGGCACCTCACTGTGGAACCTGGGATCCTTCGGCTCTGGGAAATGTCCTCAGTTATTTGGATGAGTCTCCCCATCTTTTGTTCTCTTTGCTTTTTCTGGAATTTATTGTTTAGATATAGGATCTCTTGGACTGATATTTCAGTTTTATTTTCTCTTTTCATTTCCCATCTTTTTCTGGAAGAGACTTTATCTTCTAATCCTTTTATTGAGTTCTTTTCATTTCTATCGTATTTTTAATTTCCAAAAGCTTCTTCCCCCCAGATTATCTTTTTTTAAAATATATAGTATTCTCTTATTCCATGGCTGTAGCATCTTATCTGTGTACATTAATGATAGTTTTGATTTTAATTATTTTCTTCTTACTTTAATGTCTCTGTTGCTCATGTGTGTGTGCACCTTAAACAACATAAATTTATTTTCTCACAGTTCTGCAGTCCAGATCAAGGTGGTGGCTGGGTTAATTTCTCCTGAGGCCTCTCTTCTTGGCTTGTAGACGGCCGTCTTCTCTGTGTCTCCGCATGGTCTTCCTGCCGTGTCTCTGCTCTGTTTTTTGTTTGTTTTGGTCTTTGGTTTTCATATCAAAGGCCTTCCTCTGATAGTTCAGGCTATTCTTATTTGAGAGTTGAAAATACATGGAACGGGTTGCTCGGCCTGTTGGTGATACCTGGCCACACCTACATTTAGGGCCATCTGCTGTGCTGTGTCATCTGTGAGGCCCCCTGGCAGAATCTCCAGGGCTTTTCTTGCGGGCTAGTCAGTTCTCTACCGAAGTTACCTTCCAAGCTCTTGTCTGGAGGATTAAGGCTGGTTGCTAATGTCCAGGAACCAGGTGGCAGAAGAAGGTAGGAATGCCAAGCCTTCAGTATGTAAGCATTCAGTTTTATCTGTGTTTGCAAAGGCACCCTGACCCTAGCTGCGCCTGGGTGTCCTGGCTCAGAGACCCTCCGTCTTACTCTGTCTAGAGAGCAGACCTCTATTCTGCTTCGGGTTCAGCAGCCTGGCTGTGTGGAGCAGCTACCCCTTCTTGTGGATGCACATGCCCTGTGTCCCCAGAACCGCAAGGGCCTGGTGATGCCAACTCCTGAGCCTTTATGGGACTGGGGTGTCAGTCAAGCTGCTTCTCAACTTTTATTATATCTGCATGTGTGTGTGCATGTGTGTGTGTGTGGACGTGCATGTGTGTATTGCTGATAAGCTATTTGAAAGTAAATCATTGGCCTGGTAAGACTTCTCATACCGAGCCTTCAGTGTGCACCTCACAGGAGCAGGGACGGTGTCCTACATAAATGCAGTGATAATGTCGCAGCTCAGAAAATCAGCATTTTCCGGTGGTGCCATTTAATATACAGTCCATGTCCAAATTCCCCCAATGTCTCAAAATGTATCTTATCTTCTTAAAGTATGCATCAAAATGCTTCTGTGAGGAAGATTATGTTTGTTCTTATACTGCAGATGACAAAAATAAGATTCCAAAATAGTAAGCATGAACTAATACGCAGTAAATACTTTGCCAGCCATTGTTGACACTTGGCTTTTTGCACCTATGCCGTTGGAAACCACCTGGGTTTTGAGCCAGCCACGGCAAGAGGGCCCCCGTTCGGGGGCCCAGTGGGTCTCCCTTGCTGGAGGGCGGCTCTCTGTTGCACAGTCTGTCACCTGACTTCTGTGAGCTGTTTTTACATTGCTGTAGTTTTTTGAGACTCCCTCAGTTTGGATCTGCTCTTCCCTCAAAGTCTCTGTTTCTGGAGTGAACCTGGTCCTGTTGAACGGGGCGGTCCTTGGACCGTAGGATGAATGTTAGCAGGTGAGGTTGCAGTTGCCTCTGTTCAGGGTCATTGCACATAAATTTCTTGACTGCAGAATGGTTGAGTTCAATGAGTAAAGTAAAAGCAGGCTCAGAAAACTCCTTTAAGTTCGAAATAATTTTGTTTTAGTGGATTATGTAAGGGTCTTAGGTATATTTCATTTTAAAATAATTGAAGTTTGGAACTCCCAGTCAAAAAGCTCTGAAAGTGGCCTCATACCATCTGCCTTCCACTGCCCCTCCCACTTTCTACTTCTCCCTTTAAAGACCCTCCTACTGTGGCCATCACTAAATGACCAAGGGGGGAGATCAGGGGAGATAGGAGTGGAGGGGGCGGGGATGGGATGAAGGGGACAGCCGGCGGCGGGGGGAGGCACCTCGGACTCAGGCGCACCTGCTGGAGGAATCAGCGAGCCCTAACCTGTCGAATTGCAGCACTTTTAGGCTCTAGGACTTTCTCAGACTAGTTGGCCCTTTAACAGTTCCTCACCCAGCGGTCAGATGGGTCAGAGGGACCCGGAGAGCAGCCCGTTCCAGCTCCTGCATTTAACAAAGCAGCTCGACTCTTGGCCCTTCTGTTTTTCCCCCTCTACTGGTCCTGTGGTCCCCCCAGGCCCTCCAGCAGGCGGTGGGCTACCTACACCCAGGAATGCCTTGGTTGGCTGGCTGACTGGCTCACCAGGGTTCCCAGACCCATAATCTTATGAGACAGGTGGAAAACCCTGCAGTTTGCAGTCTTCCTTTAACATTGGAATCTGCCTGCTGGACAGTGTGCCCAGGTATGTATTCCGTAGCGGTATCTGCCTGCTGGACAGTGTGCCCAGGTATATATATACCTTAGTGGTATCTGCCTGCTGCACAGTGTGCCCAGGTATATATACCTTAGCGGTATCTGCCTGCTGGACAGTGTGCCCAGGTATATATACCTTAGCGGTATCTGCCTGCTGGACAGTGTGCCCAGGTATCTTTTCTGTTTCTCACCAGCTCGAGGACGTGCTCTTTTGGGTGGTGGTGTTTATCCCTGGTGCCCCTCTGCCACCCTGGTGAGCGGCGCTCAGACTCACGCACACAGGACAGCTGCTGTCATACTTTGGATCATGTGAAGTCAGAAGGGAAGGGAGATGGGACCATGTGAATAAACAGGATGCTCCGTCTTTCCTCGTTACCATTGTCAAAACAGAGTTCTCCCAAACCAGTCTTTCCTAAACTTACAGAGCCTTGCGATTTAAGTGCAGATGTTTCTGTTAGACTTTTCATTGACCTGCAGGAGAGGCACAGAGTGTAAGAGTGCAGCTTGATTAGTGCCACAGCCTCCAGACACTCAGTGACCAGCCTTCAAATAGAAGGAAAAGGTAATCACCAGTCTTGCAGAAGCCACCGCCCCAGGATGGTCACTCCCGGCTTCTCACAGCAACAGTAGCTTGGGCCGCCTTTTTGTATTTTAGGGGATCCCAGCTTCAAGTATTTGGCCAAGTAAAATTTAATGTATTTTAAAAAGAAAGGGGGTTGGAAGCCTTGTTATAGCTTGAGGACAGCGGAGAGCTAGATAAGGAAAAGCAGAACGGGGACGCCAGGGGAGTGGTTTTCTCTCACTGTTTCTGAAAAGAACGGTGACATTACAGCGGAGAGTGACTGCGGAGCCCAGAGCAACTGGAGACGGTCACGGTGGTAGGAATGCACGAGCAGCCACCACGTCCGAGGGTCATGTTCTTCTGGGGCTTCTTAGTATTTGCTTTCTAATTTCTGAGAGGCCTTTTAGTGCGTGCGCGCATACGAGTGTGTGTGTGGTCTCTGGTGCTTCGCACATTGAATCATAGAAACTCTACGTGGTGGGGTGACGCAGACCCCCTTTCCAGTCTTCCTGTGGAATGGGACGACCCCCCTCCCCTCTGTGATCAGGAGGGGCCCCGCCAGCAGCTGGTCAGGCCCCACTGGGCTGGGGTGCGTGTCCAGCCAGGCAGCGCCTTCAGTGTTTCAGGAGTTCTGACTTCTTTGATTGCGTTGTTCTATGAAAATAGTCTTTCAGTCTTCAGTGAACTCGAGCAGTTTTCTCAACGAGAACAGATCTTAAAATCTGACTTTCCCAAGGTCCTTGATGCCCTTTCTCAAGGAGCCGGTAAGAGGCCTTATCTTGTATCCAGAGAAAATTCAGTTTCTTTTGGGTAAAAATCAGTTGTTGTAAAACCATGTTTTCCCCTCTTGTAAGATCTTTTATTTAGTTCCCGAAACACGAGTAACACTTACGCATCTGGAAGAGAAGCCATTTACTTCATCTGCACTGTGCCACCTGCAGGGTGCAGACGTTTCGAGGTGAGGACGCCTCATACTCACGTTCAGTATTGGGGTTGTCCTCTGTATTTCATCTTTGATGATGTCCAAGCACCGATTTTCCTGTGCTACCCTCTCAGCTTTTTGTCCCTGTTACCTTCGTGGCCTTAGGCCCGCTCCCATGGACCCCCAGCAACACATTAGGGAGGCCAGGAGGTGAAGGGGCTGCCCGTCAGACGGACGCGGCAGGGCTCACACCGGCAGGGGCGGCTGCTGCCTCCGGGAGGGGCCCGCCTGGAGTCGGGGTCCTTCTCCCTGCAAGGTTGTGTCAAAGGTTGGAGCCTTTGCTTTTAAGGCTTAAAAGTTGCTTGGAACCAAATCTCATAAATAAAGGGTGAGCAGCTTACACAGGAAAGAGAGCTGGTATTTCTGGAGCCTCCGTAACAGGCATTGTGTATGTCAGTGTCTGTGCAAGGTGGCGGCTACTGGCTCCATTTGACGGCTGGGCAAGTTCAGAAAAGCAAATGGCCTGCCCAAGTTCACATAACTAGTAAGTGGATTCCACTCCAGACTGCTCTGATCCCAAAGTCATGGACTTTTCCTCTATATTAATCTGATTATTTCATACCCTTTTTCTAACTGTGTTTAGAAGAATGTATCTCTAAAGTCATAGAGCTAATTTTTTTGGTCTGGTTATGAACCAGCTATGGGTGCAAATGAACAAGAGGATATAAAAAATATTTGGAAAACGTTATCATTATTGAAGGAGCTAAGTTTTTGGAAGGAGAACTCCAGTGTAGATGCCCGAGCCCGGCATTTGAAACTGTGCCCTACATGATCGATGACCCCACCCTTTGTTCCCAATTATCTGACTTTAATTTCACACTGGATTTTTTTAAAATTTGTTGATTGACCCACTAGATTGAGAGTCACTCATTTCACATATTGTATAAGTGGATTTAGGAGCTTTAACTCAGTTGTTTTTGGTTAGAGAATTAAAAGAACTTGCTGCCCTGAGATCTTCCTTAAACAGAATTGAGCTCAAGTCAAAGGCGGAAGGCAGCACAGAACGCAGGCGGGAGTGTGGGCGCCTGTGGACTCCGGCCCCGGGCGGGAGGCCACCGCCACCCAGAGGTCAGACCAAGGGTACCAGCATAGAATTCTTGAGATGTAGAAAATACAACACTTTGATATCATTTAATTCCAAGGCAACTCCCTGCTCTTAGGTTTTGTGACTTTTTCATCTAAGTTATTCAAAAGTTTGTGTATGCCATTTAAAAATATATATTTTTGTGGAGTCCAGAATACGTAAAGGTAGTTTTTGTATCCCACAGAGTTTTTGGCACATGTAGGTGCCCAAGCAAATGTTTTCTGAACTGAACTGAACACAGAAATTTGCAAAGCATATTAAATATACTCTACCAAATTCTGTAGTTGTTTACACAGGTATCTATTTGCTAGCGTGAGTAAACTATTTTTTCAAATACCCTAAGCAGGGCGACAGAGTAATGCATACACTATAACTCACCAACGCAGTGAAAAGCGCCCTGTGCAGGACACACCAGGAGGAAGGGCCAGCCGAGGGGCTGGGCTGATGCCCTGCAGAAACCTGCGCTCGGCCATGAGCCGCAGGGCCACTCAGGGGTGGGGAGGCTGGTTTGAGGCGCAGAGACTTGTGTCAATCATTTAAAACTTTCTCCCCAGAAACCGAGAGCCCCAGCAACCCCCAGCATGGACAGGGGCCCCTGCGCTTCCTTCCCTGCGCCCACCACGGACCCCACGAAGATGAGGAGCCGGAGGGGCAGCGGGGCGCGCTGGTTGAGAGCAGCCCCCCCTGGGGCTCCCCTGCCGGCCAGAACCCCTCCTCCCACTGGGGGTAAGGCCATGGCCCCTCTGAACGGGGGGCATGCTCCTTTCCCGACTCTGCCCACAGTGCTGTTGCCATCGTTGTTGCAGCTCCACCCTGACGTCTGCATCAGCCAAGAGCTAATACTGGGGTGAAGCTGGCCCAGGAACATGGCTCACGTCTTTGTGGGTTTTCATAAAGAATACCTAACTATCAGTTTTTTTAGAAAAAGGTACTTGGAAGGAAAAGAGTATTTGGGAAGTGTTTTCCAATGACCAGGCTCACCTCTATTGGAAATAAATGGTTTTGAAGTTAGATATCAAAAAGTGGTTAATTTCATGAGGTGTATTTATGATTCATTCCACGTACCTAAGCTTAGGTCCCATGTGGAAGTGTGGGCGGAGGTGGCTGCTGGCAGGTGTGTATTGTACACCTGGAGCTGGAGGGGCGAAAACCTCAAATTCTCAGGAGTGCCCCTGACAGCGGGGTCGTTCCCGGCCAGAGCACACTGCTTGTCGGCCTGCAGGAAACACCCCGTTAGTGGCATGAGGCCCAATTGAGTGTAAGTATCAGGGCACCTTGCAGACAATACAGGTAAGTCTTGCTTCAAGAGACTTTACTTCAGTCATGTAGGTGTGTGGTCAGAGTCATATCATAAAGCTGTTATATATATTACATCAAATTCTATTATACATTTGTTCTTGGTGTGTGGGGTAAAAAAGTCAGGAGACCATGTCCCTGCCGGCTGACAGAGCTGGCCGTCTGTCCTCCAGCCAACGAGGACGAACAGAGAGGGTGAGGTTCGCAGTCACAGAGGACGGGGCCTGCGGGTGGGCCTCTCGTGAGCCACCACCTGAACATCTGGGAACGTTTTCTTTTGATGAGTCGCCAATATTTAAAAGATCTCACTGACGAATCCGGATCGATGCCTCCTTGTAACAAAGCCGGATGACCAGCAGCCCTGGCCTGCACGCCGTGTAGCCCCTGCGACTGGCTGGAGCCGAGTGGCACCCCACGCCCCCAGCTGGGGTCGCAGCAGCAGCTGCCCACGTGTGCCTGCCCACCGCGCTCAGTGCCCTTCTGGCTGTGGTCCCTGGTGATGCAGCAGGAGTGGTAGGTCACAGAGAAGCGAGAGGCAGGGGGCAGTCAGATGTGTGTTGTGCCAGCTGTCTTGGGAGCTTGTCCGTGACCCCAACCCGCTTCACCCCACGTCTTAGTTTGTTGAACAGTCGGTCAGTGAGGTGTTTCTTGAGCCCCTTTGAAGTTCCCAGCACTGTTCAGGGTGGCAGTCTGCCGAGGGGGACAGACAGCGGACAGGAGAGCGAAGAAATGGGTGACTTGGGCTCCGACGAGCTCTGTGAGGATAGAGTAGAGGGTGGAGACTGATTGTGGAGAGAGTGGTGAGCATAGCAGGGCCCTGGTAGGACCCCTAAGGTCAGGAGGGCCTGGTGCTTGCTGGACTGAAGCCCTCGCCGGATGAGAACAGATGGGGTCTGGAGCCTGACTGGGGGTGACTCAGGTCACGTGACAGGAGCAGGGTCACTTCTTGCAAACAGGTGGCAGAGCTGGTGTGGGGCCACTCAAGTGTCCTCTACGCGATGTTCTTGCTTCTGAGCCTGGATGCAGCGCAATGCATTTAACTCTTAGTTGCTCACATTGGAAACCTGCTGCTTGGTGAGCCACTCACGGCCACCCAGAGACACGAAGGGACGTTCCACCTCCGCCCTTGTCTTCTGTGCTTCCTGCATGGCTGAGCTTGTCCCTCCCGGGCCACCTGGCCCCAGTGCGCTTGGCCTCAGCTGTGCCAGGAGGCGCCATGTGCGGTGGTCATACCCCAGCACGGAGGCCGTCCTCACGGCTCCAGGTAGCCCCAAAGCATGTCTCCCTGAGGTTGTTATCTGCCTACTTGCGTCCTTCCCACTCCCCACTCCTCTCCCCGAGGCCTGTGCGAGCGCAGAAAGGTCGCCGTCGTTTCCGAAGCGCACATCGCCTTGTTAGAGCAGGTATCTCAGGGCTGCGGCCTCGGCACCGTTGGTGCAGAGCTCCCCGGGCCTGGCTTCAGAGCCTCTCGCCTTTGAAGTGTGTCCATTGGGCAGCTGAGGCCATCAGGCCCCCGGGCATGGAGACAGGGTGTGTCCCCGCTTTGGTGCCAAGGGCAGGGGCTGTGGTGGCAGGTCTGGAATCCCTGATTTAAGGAAACGAAGGGGATGAGGTGCATCGCCACCTTTATGGGGCCAGCAGCTTCCCTGCTCCGTTCAAATAGGGTTTTGGCTGGAGGTGGCGGTGTGGCCCACCCCTCCCCGCTGCTCAGGCTGGGCACAGACCCCAGCGCCATCCCCACCTGCCCATTCCCCCTCCCCTTGGCCTCAGGAGCCCTCAGGGTTTCCTGACACCTCCCGTCTGCATTCCCCCTTCCCACCGCTGGCCGCCCGCCTTCACCTCTTTCTGTCTTTGGCCTTCCGCCCTCCTGTCTTGCCCTGCCCTCGGCTCAGTGGGGGCTGCAGGGGCGTCAGCCGGCAGCGCCCAGGGAACCGAGCCCCCTCCCCGCGACTGTGAGCCTCAGCCGCTTCCCCCTTATGCCAGCGACTATGAAAACAGTTGGCTTCCTCCGTGTGCCCTGGGCCAGAGGGCCGCAAGCAAGCACAAATCAGGTTGCGTCGTCCCTCGCTGAAAACCCTGCAGGGGCTCCCTGTGCCTTTAAAAGGAATATTTGCCAAACTGAGTTCTAGAGAACACTTCTGGCAAAGTATTAGGAGCTTTTCCGTGGAAAAGGGGTCAGCGCTCAAATAAGACTGCGTGCTGCTCCGTCTCGGGGAGGCATGGGGCACACGAGCCTATTGAAGGGTCGGTAGAGCCGTCCGCTGAGACACCTGTTTAGTTTTAATTCAACCCAGCATTTCACAACCTACTTGACTGTCAACTCTGTCTTCTGGGGAACACAGTAGGGACAAACCAGCGTAGCACAGAAGTTGGCAAACTTATTCTGTAAATGCCAGAGAGCAAAGATTTTAGACCTTGTGGGCCACCCAGCTTCTGTTCGACCTACTCAGCTCTGCCGTTGTAGTGGGGAAGCAGCACCGACAGATTTACGGCAGTAAGATTTGAATTTCATGTGATTTTCACATGTTACCAAATACTGTTCTTTTGAATTTTTTCCAAATCATTTAAAAATAAAAGGCCATTGTTAGCTTGCAGGCTATGCAAAAACAAGAGGGTCTGGCCCAGCCTAACATGCAGGCCCTTCTCCTGCTGCCTGTGCAGCTCCCCTGGCCTGCGGGCCTGCTGCCCCCGTGGCCTGTTCCCCTGCTCCCCACCACCCCCTGTGCAGCTGCACCCCTGGCCTGCTCACCCCCTGTGTGCCCACTCTCCCCGTGGCCTACGCACCTGCCCCCACAGTCTGTGGAACTGCTCCCGTCCCCCGGACCCCCAGCCTGCCCACCCCCTACTTGCCCACTCCCCCCATGGCCTGTGCACCTGCTTCCCCCACCCCCCGGCCCCCGTGCCTGGGCACCAGCATCCTGGAGCTCTTTGCGGTTCCCCAAAACTGCCCTGCTGTCTCATGCCTTGGGCAGGACCCACTGTGTGATTTGCTAGACCTAATGCAAAATGAGAAAGTGAGGCTCTTTATTAAAAAATTGTTCAGAATTTCAAGATTGCAAAATCAAAGCGTTAAGCCAAGCGCCTTCTCCGCCTGGGGCCTGGCCGACTTGAGTGCGCACGCCTGTAGCTGGCTCCTACCCAGAATTCTGCTGGCCCTTCAGAGTGCCTCTCAGCCTCCACCTCCTCTGGGGGCCTTTCCCTGACCAGCTCCCAGCCCCCCAGAACCCCCTTTCTGTGTGCCCCCTCGCCTGGCCCGGGCCACGCTGTACAGCTTTTCTCTTACTCTTCTGTCTCTCTGTTGCCTCGACCAGACCAACCTCAGTAGGAAAAGAGGTTTTCGCTGTTTGTAGGCCTGGAGCCCAAAGCAGAGTCTAGGAAATAGAGAAATGCCTGTGAAATGGAGCGGATCCCTCACGGTCATGCTCCCCCATTGTGGAATCCTGTAGTCCACCCACCATCCATTACAAAATTAGTACGACCAGCTGCACCTTTGCCAGGGAGACGCAGAGTATCGCCGCTCATGCTCAGTGCGACGGTGGACGTCCAGCAGCAGAGGGTCCCGGGGCAGCTCGTGGCTTTGGTAATGACTGATGAGCCCACTCTGCCAGACCGTGAGAGTAGAGAGGGGCAGCTCCCCCACCGATGCCGTAGGTGTGCGCCCCCCAGAACAGAAGCTCCCTGACAGTTGGGCCCTCTCGTTCACACCGGGCCGCCAGGACACGCAGTGGCACCTGGCACACAGCAGTGCCGCCTAGTCCGTACTTAGGGAGAGAATTAAACAAGTGCCGAAATACAGGGATAGGCGAGAATGCTTTGTGAGCTGAAACTGTGCTTTGTGAATCGGTGGAGATGTTTAAGGTACCGCGGTGCTGTGGAGAGCACCCTGGATCGTAAGGCAGGATCCCTGGGCTCTCTTAACATGACTGACAGGAACGTCTAGCTTTTGAGTGTGTTCATACCAGCTGAGCCACTTGACGCCTGAGGAGTAAGATGGGGACATGGAGGAAGGTGAGAGGAAGACTGAGGGACGTGCCCGTGACCTGAGGCTGGCGTAGGGCAGAGCCTGTGCCCTCACTGTGCAGGCCTGGCTCTCCCCAAACTCGCTCTGTGACTGCAGCCTCGTCACTTAACCTTTGGGGTTCTTGGTTTTCTCATCTGAGAAATGAAAGTTGGACTAGACGACCTTAGAAGATGCTTCCAGCTTTAGAACTCAGGGTTTTGAAGCAGGGAGTGGTCAGAGCAAACTGTGTGGTTTTGTTACTGGGGGGCTTCTCGGGGTGTTGGGGTCACTGTCATGGGGACACAGCAGTATTCATGTGGACTGGCTGTTCACAGACCCAAATTCAAGTGTTTGCCTTCTGGTAGATTCCAAGCTATCCATTTTTACCTGAATTGATGTGATGAGGTCTTGGAGATGTTCAGAGAGGTTTGGGCCATATAATTCCAGACTTGGTTGTAAGTAATATATAAGTTTTAAATTGTATAAATTCTTAGATTGTAAAATTATTGAAGTCATGATTCCTAAAATAGGAAATGCTTTGACAAAACATTTCCTTGATTATTACAGCAAAGAAGACATTAATATCCAAACAAACAGTTATGATGGGGGACTCTACGGTAAAAATAAATGGGCTTTATTTAACCCGATCAAATGCCATCGGCCACTTCAAGAGTCACCCACTTCAGCTAACTTACGGAGGCGTCGGTGAAATCAAGGAGCAAGAAATCTTCAAAGGAGCGACGTGTTTGCCGTCCCATCCCAGAGGTGGAAGGTCAGTATTCTTTTTATTTAATTTTCTGGTCAGGATAACTGTCACTTACTGTTTTGTTCTCTGTCTTAAGTAGAGGCTTGATTTGCATTTCCCCCTTTTATGTAAACAGATTTTAAATTAATGATGCATGAATAGGGAAGATTTCTTCTCAGGCTGAGTGGAGTGGATTTCCTTCCTTCCCTGTTTAATCCCCGGGGAAACGTTCCTACCCGCTGAAGCGCTGCTTGGGTGGGACTGCCAGAATAAGGTCTGCTTTCGTCGGGCTGCGCCAGCTCCCGAGTCATGACTGATTGTTTCGTTGGTGTGTTATTTGGGATTCTTGCTGGCCTGGAATGCATTACCTCCCTTTGGGTCAGTTCACAGTTGTTATCGCACAAAAGAGTGGACCCTTAATTTATTTTATTCTCCAGTAGAAACTTTGATTAAGATACTTATTTTGCAAACCAGTGGTTAAAACGGGAGAGCCCTGGAGATGTCTGTGATCTGAGAGCCCCCTCTCTAAACCCTCACAAGGTGAATGACTGGTCATTGCTGTCTTTGATGCCATGTTCCTAGAAAGGCCTTTCTTTCGAACCCAGTCTTTGTTGACACCTTCCCCACCCACCTACCTAGGCACCCCCAAGTTCATACCCTGTTCCTAGATAGGGCTTTCTAGGGCTTCCCTGAGAAAATAGAGGAGCAGTTTTCCTACCATATGAAGGATTCATGGAGAAACGTCACTGTATGGGCCATGGAAATTCTCACGCTGGGGTTCTTCTAATGAAGCCTTGGGTAACTGGGGGCCTGGGTGGGGGGCAGACCGAGGGGAGCAGGCTCTGTTTTCCAGGCCCAGCCAGCAGCGATGCTAAGATAGGCATAAGGTCTTGGACTGTACAGGTCACTCAGTTAAAGATATTTTTCTATGACTTTCCATTGGGTCATCGTGGACAAGTGCCCAGTGTGAATTTGCTTAACAAGATTAAATTCCATGGGCCATTTTAGGGCCAAGAACTTGTTGCCCTCACTTGAGATTTTGGGCCGGACTTTGGCCCGTGTACATGTAGTGTGGAAGCCGCTCTGCGAGCCGGCCGCCTGGTGGCTGGTGGTCGAGCTGAACGGACCTTGTCTGCCGCACAGCCTGAAGAGTGGTGCTTGTAAAGTTGCTTTGCATTCAGAGCATTTTTTAAATTAAAGGAAAAATGAAATGTCTCCTTAAGTGGAAAAGGATGACTTCAAATCGGGACTTCGGGAGTTGAGCACAAAACCTCAAACTAGCCGTTGCGACACATCTTTTCTGTGTGTCAGCAAGTGGGAATAGGCCGTGGCCCTCGGAGCTGTAGAAGGCACAGGAGACCGTGCGTCGCTTTCTGCACGAAAGTGAAATGGAAACACGTGGCTGCACCGTCTTTACAGTGACTCGCGTTGACCAGGGAAACCCAGACAAGCGCTCTTCACATTTATTTATTTTTGCAAATCTTCAGATGTTGCAGAATCATCTGCCAGTCAGAGCTCGTGATGCCGTCCTCAGCCAGGGACAGCAGAGGCATCTCCGGCCCCTGTTTTATCCCACAGACACAAGGGCGGAACCGGGGTCCTGGAATCCCCTCCTCCGGCCGTCCACACGCAGGGGGCTGGCAGCAGCCCAGGTTGTCTCCTTTCTGCCTCGCTAGGGTGGTTTTTGCACCGCACAGTGACTGTGACTGAGTGGGGTTTGCAAGTCTAACTTCCAGTAGCATTTCTGCTTCAGGAATCTTTGCCTCCTTTAATCTTTGGATGGGGCTTTTTAGAAGTGGTGCCAAAAAACCGGTTTATACAGTAGGCTTAAAACAAACCAGAAAATGGAAACTATTAGCCAGTCTTTCATTAATTACATTTGTGAGTCAATCCAGGACACTTGATAATTGTTTCTTGTAAACATCTAAGTGGATAATTCCAAGAAATCATCTTTGCTATGCAGCGGGGTATTTCCAGTTGTGATGCTGAAGCCTTACCCGCAATGAACAGCTTTTCATCTTTAAACCATCACACGGGAAAGGCAGACTCTGGTCAGTGAGCTGGGCGGGCGGAGAGGGGAGGGGAGGGAGGGCAAAACGGGGAAAAGGGGAGGCTTGGGAGGAGAGGGAGTGAGGACGTGCCCCCCCCCCCAGCCCAGGGCGCTGACACGCTCGTCCGCGTGACAAGGGCCACGTCCGTGCTGAGGGCTTCTCAGGCTGCGGACAGAAAGGAGCAGTTCACTTCCTTGAACCAGCATTGACTTGTACAGCCTTAATGTAGAATATGGCCCATCAGACATGGGCGGGACTGGAGGTTCACTTCATGCTCAGTGTGACGGAAAAGGATTCGCTAAGCAAGGTAGCATCGCAAACAAGATCTTGGGGGACTGTTGACTTCCGAGGAGAGAACAGGCCCTCCAGGACCTACTGAGCTGTCGCCTTCGGACCGGGTGTCCACTACCGGTGTGCACGCACCCGTGTCAGGGTCCCGTTACGGTTCGGCTGCCTGCCCCTGAACAGCCCTACGCTTTCTCTTGCTTTGTGTTGCCATATGGATTGGAAATAATAAAGCTTCCGTTAAAATATGTGTGTGTGTTTATTTCCATCCATCCATCCAGTGGTTCAAGCTGATGAGACCCTGTGTGTATCTGCTTAAAAACATTTTAAGGCTTTCTGCGGCAATGTCATTCAGACCATGGTCTGGAAATGTGATCTGGAAGAGGAAGGCCAAGGGCAGTCACTTGCACGGAGGCTCGACTCTTTGCTGGGGGCCTGAATCCCTGGATTTTGGTTCATTTTTCTCTCAGCCACTTAATTTCACTGTGTGCCCTTTGGCAAGTCTCTTTAACACTTTCAGGGGCTCAGTTTTCTGACCTGTAAAATGGAAATAGCTCTGGTCCTTCACTCCCGCCTCTTCCCAGACCTCCCTGTAGATCGGGGGATGGTGAGTGAGGCCTGAAAGCCTCATCTGTGAACCTTCAAGTCCCATTAGCATTGTTGGGATCAAAGTAAGAAATGAATCTGAATGAAATGCAACAAAGCGAAAAACAGAGGGATGAATGTCACCTCTGAAGCCGAAGAGTGGCCCCAGCCCCAGCGACAGGACACGAAGCTCCTGCACGCTGCCGGGTGGGCCTGCGGCTCTGCCTGCCCAGCGGGCCTCCCTGCGCAGAGCAAACTGCCTCAGCCTGTAAGGCGGCCAGTCGGCCCGCGCTTGGACGAGGGCTGACCCTGCCTTTCCGAACTGCCTTCCCAGGGATGGGCACGTGGCCCAGGGCTGCCTAGCCAGAGTTGTGGAACCCGCCAGCACTGGTGGTTGAGTCAGAGGTGGGCATGTGGTCCAAGACGGGCCGGCTGAGCTCCCCCGGGACCCCTGCCAAGGCCTCGGGGGAGGTGCTCCCTCCAGGTTCATGGACTGTAAAGATGCTGCGGTCTTGAGGCCAAGGTGGCCCTGTCCTTGCCTGTGGAGGGTGACAGAGGAGAGTGACGCGGAGACACAGAGCTGAGGATTGGCGAGAGTGGCTGAGTTCACGGTACTTGGGAAGCCCGATGGGCTGTGCCCAGGCCGCCCACCCTGAGCCAGAGCGCCTTCTCTCTCTCTCCTGCCTGCTGCCTTCCTTCCTTCCTCTCTCTTCCTCCCTTCTTCCTGTTTGGTAGGGCTGCTTATAGTCCTTCAGGGTTTTGTGACTTGAAATATTGCGACCAAGAGTCTGGTTAACCTGCCAGACTAAGGAAAATAGATGAAATCGAGGGGTCATTTGGGAGCGGACACTGACCTCCTCAGACCTGCAGCCAGAGCAGATGTCACTAAACGTGAATCTCTTAGTCCAGAAAGATGTACCCAGTAGCCTTAGTTAAAGAAACGAGACCCAGGACGTGGGCCAGCTGCCGGACAAGAGGAGAGGCTTCCACTCGAGCCCCAGAAGGCAAGGCAGCAGAGAATGGGGCCAAGGGACGCGCTGCCCTCATCTGCTGTGAGCCAGCTGGTTTGTGCGTGCGGGTGTCGGGGGGCGGGGGAGTCGCCAGGTGAGAACTCAAGGAGCCCGTCACGCGACGGGGCTCTTCGTGAGTCACATGACCTTCTGCACACAGACAAAGGGGACCCACGCTTTGGGTAAAAAAAATAATAGACTTGGTGAATGGATGTTCAAGAAAACTACACTGAAGCTGCAGAATACCCCATTTCTCTCCCTGTGGATCCTGCTTACTCTTCAATAAATAAATGTTGGTAACTTGAAAATTACAGATAATGTGATTATCTCTTCTTTTAAAAAAGAGGCTGCTCTTTGCATTATAAGAATTCAAATTAGATACTATAACTCCACCCAAAGAGATGAAGTATGTGCATAGGTTCTCAAGAGACAAAAGAAAAGTGTACAAAAGGGAGAGAAAAGTCATACAAAAAGAAATAAGAAGCTATGAAAATGATGGTAGCAGTTGAGATGTGGGATGGTATGACACTTCCTGAAGGGGACTGTCTTCCTCTGCCCGTCAGGTGATTTACAGATATTAACTCATTAGATATTCACAAGCACCCACTGGAATGGAAGTGACCAGAACAGAAAGAATGAGAAAAGTATTAAGACATAATAGAAGACAACTTTCTGAAATAAATACTTGACTCCAAAGCTCAGATGGACACATTGTGTGCCAACAAAATTGGATATGGAATATTGTACACTGAGACATTTTCAACAATGTTCAGCTCTAGAACACTGCCCACTACACGCACATACTCGGTCAGCAACTGTTGGTCGAGTGGGTAAAGGGAAGACGGTATCCCACGGCCATCCAGGCTGCAGGACAAAAGGACAGACTGCTCTGGCTTTATTAGGACGTCCCTCTGTGCCACAAGTCAGTGGACTTATGTCTGTGAAGTCCTAAGTGTGGGAAGGGCAACCTAGAGTTATATTGCCAGCCCAGCTGTCCTTCAGTAAAAAGGCAACAGAGATATTTTCAAATGTAAATGAACCTGGGGATATAATACTCATGCTTTCTAGAAAACTCTTTGAGAGTCAAAATTCAAAACTCAGAAATGAAGACGTTTCTATGGTGAGTACTGACTGTGTTTTCATTCTGAATTAAAATGATAACTCTGAAAATGATGATTGTGGAATAGAAACCTTAATGATGTAGTAGTGACGAAACTAACCAAGCTGGTACTCGGAAGACTGAGCACTGGTTCTCTTCATCATGGAATAGCTTTGCTAGTAGCTACAGTCTGAAACTGAAACGTCAAGTTAGAGAAGAATGATTTCGGCATCCTAACATCTTTCCTTGTTTTTTTCCCTTAACTTCAGAGAAATCTTTTAGAAACTAGTGTCCCTTGGGAAGACCCGTTCATCTGAAGTTCCACAGTTCCTTCAGTTTCACCTCGATTTCTGTTTCTCTGTATAATTCAAGTAAAACTTACACTTGATAGCTTTAAATTACAATGGCATGTATGGCATGATCCCATTTATATGTATCCTTTACCTACCCACCCTCCAAGTCACCCTTCTGTTCTTCCATTCTTTTATCTTTTCCTCTGTTTATATGAAAAAATGTGTCTGGAATGATGTTTATCACATATCAACAATATTTATTTCTGTGTGATGGGATCCTGGGTGATTCTTTAATATCTTCTTTGTACTTTCTTATATTGCCTGGCCTTAAAAATTAATAAATACACCAGTCTTTCCAAAAATAGTGAAGTCATTATTCTTTTAAGAAAGTAAGGGGAATGTGGCTGAGACAGTGTTTCCATGTGGAAAAGGCAACATTTGCCGGAACAGCTCTGCGGCGTCCCACCTTACTCGACTGTTTTCATTAGACGAGCGTGCCTAGGTGAGCTGGAGGCTAGGAGCTGGAGAGGTGGACCCTGTGCAGGAGCGGCTTGCTGCCCAGCTGTGGCCTCTGGCACAGCAGATCGGCATCACCTGGGCGGGAGCTTGTCGGTAATGCAGAATCGCAGGCCTCCTCCCAGACCTGCTGAATTCTTACAAGATCTCCAGGCGACCTGAATGCACGAGGAATTTTGGGAGGCACTGTTCAGTGGTCAACGCTGGAGAAACGAAAGGGAATTGAAGGAAAGCATTGTGGGCGTCACCTCATTCTGACTGAAGGTCAGAGACGGTTTCCTGGGGTGCTTGGGGCTTGGGGTGCCTCTCAAGGCTGATTTTCAGTAGAGGCGGAATGTTTCTTGCTACAGGAGCAGCGTGAGCGGAGGGGGTTTGACTCGGCGGCAGGTGCGAAGTGACAGATGGCCTGGTGAGGCGGGAGCGCTGGCGCTGAAGCTGTAGACGCAGGGAGCCACGGAGATGTTTTCCACGGAAGAGTGACTCTCCGGCAGAACCGTGACGCGTGACCGGAGAGGGCAAAGCCTGGGCCGAAGGGGGCTGTGGGCGGCAGGTGCAGCGGTTCGGGTGGGAGGCGGTGGTGTGTGCGCCGGAGCACCCCGCCGGATGTGAAGGATGCAGAGCAGAGAAGGGGGCCCTGGGCAGGCCCGGTCCCCGCAGTGACCCTTACGGAGAGGGCAGGCGCCCCAGCTCTGCCCTGCGCCCACGTCCCCGAGCCCCAGCAGTGAGAGGTTACCGGAAGAGTTTCCAGACATGTCAGCACTGTTTTAATGACCGACATTACAAAGAGAATTCTGCCTGAACAGTCACATGCCAACACAATGAAATTAAAGAGCATGACTTTAAAGGAATGCTCATACGATCAAAATTTAAGAAAAAGAAAGCCTTCTGAGGTATCTGTAGCATTGGGCTGTGGCTCAAGGTTTTAAAAATATGAAGACGATACATGAAATCTTTGTACCTTTTCCAGTAATCACTGACCGGCTCCTACTAAAGCTGTGTGCATATGAACTCGATCAGACAGTGCTTTAGTCGACCCCTGACTCCCTTAGCTCCCAGTAGGAGCCCAGCACCCCGTGCCCTTCACAGCCCCACGGTTCCGAGACGCCTCGTGTGACAATTTACCCAAGTTTTCAGATGTGCCAGTCCCTGTGCTGGGCAGAGGCCCTGCTCCATTTTAAGATCAACCAGAAGCAGGGGGCTCAGGACCTTGCCCCGGCCACGTGGCTGGTGAGCGCCAGGCCTGGGGTTTGGGCACAGGGAGCCCGGGGCCCGCGCCTACGCGCTCAGCTGCCAGGTAGTGGTTGTGCGGAGACGCAGTCAGCCCCATTCTGTGCTCGAGGCCCCAGCACTGCCGGCCTCGGCGTGCACACCAGGGTGCCAAGGGAGGCAACCTTGTCACTGGCCGTGACCGCAGGGAGGGGAAGGCCTTTAGTTGAAAACTGACTTGATTCCAGTAGTTGTTTAGGACAATACTGAAAAGAAGGCCTTCCTTCTATTGTCCTCAGACCTTCTTGCTAGTTCTGGGAGTGATAAGCATAGGAACTTCCTGGGCCTCGCAGCCCGCCAGGCTTTTGGTATTTTACTTTTCCATAGGGTAGATTTCCTTAATTTCTATCTTCTTTGAAATCTCCATTTGAATTTCAGTGATGAGAATGTTGACGAAGAGGATCCCATCCCCATATTCTTTCTTTGACTGGCTGGGGACATGTTGCTACCAGATCTGTGTTTTTACTGTGTATAAAATAAAGCAACTGTTTCAGAGTATTAAGTAATTAGACATATTTTGAAGATTAACTTTATCTTTTCTCCATGACAAAAGGAAGTGTTAAGAAAAGGACATGTTTATGGAAAAACTGATCCTTGGAGAAGCTAATCCTTTTTTTTTTTTTTTACATTTGCATGCTAAATAAATCCCTGGGGCAGTAGTGGAGGGCAGGACATGGCAGTGGACATTCACTGGAGAATGGACACATAGATGTTCACAGGGGACCCTGGCCACACATATATGCCTTCTGTGTGAAGTTTTGGAGCAAATTATATTCGGTGGCAAAAAAGAAATTTTGTTGTAAAACTTGCACTGTTATTCTTTCAGTGTTTTTTACTTTGGAATTTTGTGCAGATATTTAAAAGTAAGTCCTCTGGGGTCTCATCAGTTCCAGCTAATGAGAAATTGTGTCCTTCTTAGAAGGTCTCTACCTGAAATATAACCTTAAACACAAACAGGCATAAAGTCCTGCTATTGGCCGGCCACCACACTTTTATTTGGAACACTGAATGTTTGTCATCTGGGGACCGCCTGAATTTACCTTCAATTTTTTAACATTTAAAATACTTCTGAAAATAAAACATGTTTAGAGAGCAGTCATTTAATTGATGTTTTAAAATGGAAGTAGGACACGCTGTGAGGTAGTGAAAGAATAAATGGGAAATGATAAGACCCAGGCTCCAGAGCTGACCCTGCTGTGTGACCTTGGGCACACCCGAGCCATTTGGAAACAGTTTTCTTTTGTGGAGAAAGAGAAAGACAGTCTCTCAGCCCCTGAATGCCAGGCTTTTGTGATTCTGGCGCACCGGAGTCCTTTCCTGCTGTCACAGTGGCCCCTTGTGGTGCGTATCCTTATTCAGTTTTTCGGTCTGCAAAGTCAACTTCGGATTTTTCTGTGGGAGGTTCCGAGTAACACTGTTTCATATTGTTGAGCAAACCTGACTTGTTTTTAATACTAAATTGTAGCTGGAAATCAGACGTTGATTCGAGGGGTTCAGAGCGAGCACCAAGCCCTGTTTTATACATAACGGCCCATGGATTCTTCAGGAGCTGTGCACAGCGCTCACAGCCGCTCAGAAGAGCTGCCCGGGCTTCTGTGCTGAGCGTGTCTATTCCTTTTCCTCCCAGGGACCCGGGGGAGAGGCGGCCGAGGGCCTTGTCGTGCCCCGCCAGCTCGGACCCAGGCAGGCTGGAAACCGCAGCAGGTGAGGTGCTTGTGTTCTTAGAGGTCCCCAGCCAGCACTCCGTCTTCAGCATCTCCATTTGTAGGAAAAACGATCGCACTGAAGGTGTCCTACGTTGACTCACTGGAAACCCCAGGAACTTGGTGTTCCTCAATATCTGCGTCACGTATCGACATTATTTTTATGAATTTTTATTATTCATCTCAGCAGTCATAATCCTTACCATGTACCCAACTCTAGTGCCTCAAACATCTGTGGATCACAGTCTTGATGACTGTACTGAAATTGTTTTGTACAAGTATTTGGCAAGTTGCAGAACTTGACATCAACATAGTTTTTGAGTTCGGAACTTGAGTTCAAAATCATCGCTCACTTCCAAGAAACTCTTAACTATACAAAGACAGTTCTTTGGAGCTTTAAACTGAGAAAAATGTAGGACAATACAAATCACAGGTAGACGTGATGTCAGATGTATTCATGCAGTGGAGTATAACAGATAGATCAGCTGGCATATATTTATAACACTGAATGAAATGAGTACAAAATATAATAGTACGTGAAAAATCAAGTTGCAAAGACAATGGCATATGCTGTTTACGGGCACGGGCCTGTGTGGTAACATGTAGAGTTAGGCACAATAAAAACAACCCAGTTTAGGATGGGGAGAACCCTTGGAGGGAGAGGTAGGGATGGATGGGGGTATCCAGGGGGTGTCAGCTATACCTGTAACGTTTATTTGATATAAGGGGGAGAATGAAAACAGGGTTAGTATTTGTAGGTGCACAGGTGTATGTCATATTCTCCACTCTTATTTTGTGCACATGAAATTTTATGGAAACAAACTTCTATTAGGTTCAAAAATATTTTTTTACCTTCAAAACTAATTTCTTATCCCTAAAATGACTTCTGTGGCTAGTGGAATTTTCTGTAGCACTCTGGGAAATCTTAGCTAGACTGATTTCTGCGTCCACGCTGTTGCTAAGGCTTTTACATTTATGTGCTAAAAACATCAGCCAATAAACATTGTGTCACGTTTCTGTGTGCAGAGCGCAAAGCTGTGGTTAAGAACTATAACCACTGAGACAGCAGAATCTTCAAAAACACACTGAAATTTCTGCTTGACTTACCCAATTTCCTGTTGAATCATAATTTTTATATTTAGCAAACTGAACCTAGATGAAAGTACTTTCTAAAATATTAGGTTGTTGCCTGAGACTGAGAAAAACTTTGTTTTTCATGGATCTTAAAAAGTAATCACATGATTCCATGCTTTGGTTTCTAGAGTAGAACCTGGTTTTGTATATGAAATAGGATTTTTATGGGGAGCAGAGCTGGAGGAGGTGAACCTTAGGGATGCAGAGCTGGGAGGTAACATGCAGGGGGTGAAGCAGGGAAGTGGAGACAACTGCCCATTCCCGGGAGCGGGTGGAAAGCAAAGCCTTACACCGCGGTACCTGGCCACCTTCTGTTCTGGGAACAAGTCAGAAACAGTCAGGACGGTGTGCAAGGACCCTGACTTTCCCAGGGTGATTTCTCACCCCTGCTGTTCAGCTCTTCCTGGGGTGAACATGTTATTGATCAGTTTGTCCTGAGAAACAGGTTGATAATCGTGGTTTCCCATGGAGCCGTTCTATTAAAGAGCATATTGCATAGAGGATAAAAATGTTGATTTGAATTTGTTGGACTTGAAGTCCATATTTCTAGTAAATTTAAGTGTGTCATAAATAATTGTTAAATTACTTATCTGGTTTAGTATCTTCCCGCTTCTCACTTGCCTTGATATGTGTTGGTTTTATTCACATACTTTGGACTCTGAGTGGGCCAGATACCTAGGAATATGAGCAACTGTGTTTTTTATACTGCATGAATATTAATGTTTATTTTTAGAATCCATATCTGTAATTTATCAAAGTCAGGGCAGACTCCTGAAGTAGTGCTCCAGACGGTGGTGACGGTGGTTTACAGCCTCTGTGTGCAGTTCTGAGACCCTGAAAGCCGTGAAAGCCAAAGTATTTTTCAGTCTCCTTTAGTGGACACGTCTCACTGGACCTGATGGGAGGCCAGGAACAGTCTGTGGTCAGTGTGAATGTCACACATTTTGCTGCTCCCGAAGGCCCTGCTGGGGTGGAATGTGATAGGCAGTGTATGCACCATTGCCTTACTAAAATTCATATTTCCCTGAACCCCAAACCACATCTGGTCCCAGAAGCTTTGGATAAGGGCTTGTGAAACTGTCCTGATATGGACTGGTTTTGTCCTAAAGACAATTCAGGTCAGTGTGGTGATGAACTCTTGCCTCCAGGTTAGATGGTTTGTGTGAGACCTTGCTGTGAGTTAACGCTGTTGGCGGCACCTACACTGTTTGCTTACAGCTCTGTTGACAACCTGTCTCCCTGCCTTTGTGCTCAAGGGCTCTTCAGGCCCAGTGTACATCGGCCTCTCTTGGTGTTCAGAAGGTTTGATAAAAAAATCACCCAAGGATCCCTGCAGCTTGGGGTGTTCCTTTCTGGCAGGGAGTGCGTCTGGGGAAGGCTCACGTCTGGGTGGGACAGGGGAGGCATGTAGCTCTCCGGCTTCCCCTGGGTGATGTCGTCACTGCACGCATGGAAAATTCAACATGTGTGGGGTGTCTTTTCTCTCAGGAGTTATACAAGTACCTGGGAGGTTTTAGAAAAAACAGGAGCACATGAAAACACTAATGCCCCTCAATGCAGTACTTGGAAGTGGCCATTGCCACCCCATTTTCCAGAGGAAAAGTAAAGCTGCTTGCCCAATGCCAACCGGCTAGGAGGGGGCAGTGCTGCGGTCCAAACCCAGACAGCCACTGCAGAACCCGTGTCCTTACGGGGGCCGCCCGGGCAGCCCGTCCGCACCTCCCTGTCGCTGCTGGCCAGCGCACACAGGCCACGCGCCCTTGCCCCGCTCTCCCGTGAAGCCCTCGGCTCTGCATGGACTGCGTTTGGGTCCAGGTGCCCACTATGTGGGCACTCAGTTGGTACTGGGCCCTGTGAATGGGCAGGGGCTCCGGGAACCAACTCAGACTGGGTGCCAGGTGAGGGTCCTACGGGGTGGAGTTCAAAGGAGAGAGCCTGTGGGCAGCGTCTCCAGCACTGCGGCTACGGGCGGGTAGCTGGCTCCTCCAGCTGGGACTGTCGGTGTTCTAGGTCTTGGTGGCATTGCCTGGGCGAAATGTCATCATGATCCACAATTGCTAATATGATTTACATTCCCCTCAAGCTACCTGTTCGTTCGCTGGCTTGCCGCAGGGCAGAGTAGCATAGAGGCCAGATACACGGGCTGCAGAGCTATATAACCTGCGGCAGGTAACTTAATGCCCCTGAGCCCCACTTTCTTCATCTGGAAAGTGGGGCACTTTGGGGTCTTCCTCATCCTGACACAGAAACCACCTGTGGGCCCACTGCCTCTGGACCAGACAGGGTGGCCGCTACTCCTAAACAGCCTGTGTCTGCAGGTGGCACCTGCTCTGGACTCAGTAGCTTAGTGCCTCCCCAACACACCTCCGACCCTGATGACCCGAGCATAAATCAGGAAGGTGAATTCATTACTTACTGTCACTAGACGTGTGCCTGCGTCATGTCTTTTAGTTCTCAAAACCTGAATGCAAATATTTTAGTCCCTGTTTTGCTGGTGCAGCTCAAAAAAGATCAGAACCCAGACCTCAGTCGCTCAGGGCATAAGAATGAACTTGGGATTTGGATTAAGACCTGTCAGTGCCCCAGATGCAGGCTTTTCCCACTGCCCCCTGTAAGGTCCCATTGTCACTGACGGCACTGGCCCCATGTGATATGAACATTTTCTAGAGGAAAATATCCCCGCGGGCCTCCATTTTAGAAAATTTTTCATCAAACATTTTCAAAATCCTTATTCTTTACATACAGTCCTCTATTTATTCCATATTACAGAAGGATAAGTTTAAGTAAAAAAAAAAAAACTCAAAACTATTTGCTTGCTGACAATAATTTCAACATCTACAAAGCTTAAGACTTTATACAGCATTCCAATCAGAGTTACGTGTTCTGATCTCTTTACATTATCTTGCCTGAGTTTAATTTGGGGTGATATGATTAGAAGACTTGTAGTTCTAATTAGAAGGAATTGGACTTGGGGGGCAGAGTGTTGTTCAATTCTAGAGTTTATTCATTTCAATGATGAGTGGCAGGGGCTTGTGGCGCTCCAGTTCCAACCCCTTTTTCACGGCTCTCTCCTGGTCTGGGTTTCTTCCGCAGTCTCAAAAGCCGACTTGCAAGAAAAGGCTACGGAAATAGAAGCGGACGAAGCCTTTTGGAATACCAGGATTGTACCGATACTGCATGAATTAGAAAAGGGTAAAAAAAAAATACAGTCTTTGTTTTAAGTTGAAAATATCTGTAGTTATTTATGTGTTCCCCAGTGCCCTGGTATTTTTAGTACACTTAGGCATTTCTGTGAAAGTCAAAAACAAATGAAGTGTCATCTATTTATTTACCCAGAAGTGTATGTATGAGCTATTTACATGTAAACCTAAATTTTAGTGAGTGAACTTATACTTTAGATGAGCAAGAGAGCTTACTTCTAAAATACCCCTGGAATATAAATTAGTGATCACCTTCTCTGTCCACAGAAATGCTGGTTTGAACTCTCTAGGGTAGAAGTTAAACACAGGAAAGTGAAACATTAAAACAGATTTCAGGCCTCTGAAATTTTGACTAAGCCTCACAGGCTGCCATCCTTGGCAGGTGTGCCCATGATTCTCTAGATCCACATGTATATGCCCCACCCTCCAGAGGCGGGCCCACCGCAGGGGGCAGCGCTCAGAGCAGGGAGAGGCCCACCGTGGATGGGTCTCTGCAGAGGTGACCTCTGAAAGCTTGTCAGGGGAATGCCAGTCCTCAGAGACCCCATTTCCTAATTGGAGATGGGTGTGGTGGGGCAGCGGGCACTACCCCAGAGGCAAGCCCAGTGCTGGCACGGGGCACATGGTGAGCGCACGGCGGACCCTCACCAGGAACTGTGGGATGGGTGGCTCCTTAGATGCGGGAACCAGCACGGCCGCCCAGGAAGGGGCCCCGTGAGAGGCAGGGTGAGTGAGTCCTCTGCGGCAGCCAAGCAGGGCAGTGTGCAAGGGACCCACTCCCTAGAAGGTTCCAATGACCCCACCCCTCCTCGGCCCCCTGCTGATGCTCGGCTGTGTTCGTGGCTAATGTGGGGGCCCCCGGACAGGGCTTCTGGTCCTGCAGCTGCTCTTACTAAGCACATGGCTGTGGGCGGTCACGTCAACTCCGTGCAAAGCTCAGTTCCCACCAAAGTTCACTGCCGCTCAGAACCCCGAGATGATGGCCATAATGGGTTTGATCCCTCGAGTTGCATGTTTTCACCCTCATGTTAGGGAGCTGGGTTAACTTCAGGCCCTTTGTTCTAAGAGCCATGTGCAAAAGCTCGTGAGAAGAGCAGCCAGTCTGGGCAAGGGCTGGAGAGGGACCCACGCTAGGAAGGACACCGTGGGGACCGTGGCCGGCAGCAAAGCCGGCCTCGGAGGAGAGCTTTCAGCCCGGGGGCTCAGCCCCCACGGGCACCAAAAGAGAAAATTCAGCTGGGATTTGGGATCTGAAATGTGGTCGGATCCCTATTCGTTCTCGGAGGATCGTTAAGCGCAGCGCGGCTTCCTCTCGCAGACAACCCAAAGAGCAGCAGGTGGCGGAGGGCCGGGGTGCTTGACCGTCTGAGATTCTTTCTCTTTCTTTCCTTTCTCTCTTTCTTTTCTTTTTACTTTTAATTTTGGCATGGTTTGAAACTTACAGACACTTCGAAAATAGAAATTTTGTGTGCTCTTCTCCTAGGGTCCCCAAATATTACTTTTTTTTACCACGTTTGCCCCATCATTTTCTCTCGCTCCATCGTCCTCTCTTTTTCTCCATATGCCGCACCCCCCGACACAGACACACATTTTTTTCCCTTTTTTGAACCATTTGGGAACAGCTGATGACATGATGTCCCATATCCCCAAGTCCCATATGTCTGGTGTGTATTTTTTAGAAATGAGGGCATTCTGCTACATACCTGGAAATTGTCATACAGTACTCTGCAAACCTGATTCAGATTTTACCAGTTACCCAGTCATTTCCTTTATAGAAAAAGAAAATCCTGGGTCACTAAGTTCCAATTATTTGTCACATCTCTTCCATGACCTTGGTATATTTGAGGAGTGCAGGCCAATTATTTTACAGACTGCCCCACAAACTGGTTTGTCTGGAATTTTCTCCTGTGCCGAGACCCAGGGTAGGCACTTGGGGCCGGTACTGTGTGGCACGGGCAGGGGCGGTGCTGTGTCACCGTATCAGGAGGCACGCGGCGCTGATTTGGTCCATTCCTGGTGATGGGATTTGGATCACTTGGGAAACGTGGTGTCTGCCAGGTTTTTCCACTGCGAAGTTGCTATTTGTCCCTTTGTGATTAATCAGTATCTTGGGGGGAGAGGTCGCTTGGGAGACTACTGTTCACCAGGCTTACTCACGAGCTTTAGCCCCCTGGGAACCTCGACAGCTCTTAGATTCAAGATGAATTTTGAAGCTGGCATTCACAATGAACCTAATAAAGAGTTAATTTGATCTACAGTTTGAAATTTGACCCTTGAGCCTTCTTTTTAAATATCTTCGAAGGCTAAAACAGCTGCTGCTGAGTTGCACCCGCCAGGCTGCAAGTCTGCAGAGGAAAGAGTTAGAGAAACAGCCCAAAGTCTGCCCGCTGCCGGAGAGGGGCCACTGCCGGGACCCGGGGTCTGTGCAGAAACCGCCAGTAACAGAGAGTAAAGCAGCAAAACAAGAGTGTTTCTTACAATAGAACTCAGGTTTTTCCCTTTATTTAAAGTTAGTCTAAGTCACTTCCCATCAGTTCAATTATTGAAGTCCTTAACTGAAAGGCACTGAAGGTTACTTAGCTATTGAGGTTTAAAATTTTTTCTTAGATGTTATTGTTGAAAAGAGCTAAAAATGGCCTGAGTCATTTCCTTCTGCAGGCACACACTTCCTCTGTGCGGGCTTTTAAGAACACATTATTATATTTATCTAAGATTGGTTCCCTAATTTTAAATTCTGTGATGGACTCTATCAGAGAGTATTTTCCCACTGAACACCTTACGCCTTGGGTTCTCCTGCCCCCGCCCATGGGCCGTTCTGCATGTTTCTTTTCTTCCTTAGGTGCCTATCAGTGTGGCTTCCACTTCCAAAAATCACTCTCCTCAGAATTCCAATTATAAAATAAAATGTTCTAGGTCTCCCCTGTTTTCTACCCAAAGTATTCTTTTTATTCTCCCTTTTTCTAATCACCACCTGCACATAATAGTGGAGGTGGTGGCATTTTGAGATTTTGTTCCATTTGAACCCTCTCTTCTCAGATACTGAGCATTATTCTCATAGAAAAATACTGACCATTGTTTTCAGCAATAGATGTTTTAAGGAATGAATCTGCATTAAACTGTGTCACAGGTTGTCAGGACAGTGTTCTCAATATCAGGCGCAATTGACATGACTTGTGTGTAGACATGGCCCTACTCACTCAGTGTGACTTCTGTTCAAGGGCGTAGATATAACACACATGTGTGTGAAAAATAATAGTGCAAAGTAATGTTTGTTGAATGTGGAGTAAGTGCACTTTTTCTGGAGGAGCCAGAACATAAACAGAGCCTTGAAGGACCAAAACGGGTAGAAAGGAGGTAAGGAGAACATGCTAGGCCAGGGGAAGGAGGCCACAGAGGGCTGGCGGTGGAGACGCAGGGCCTGTCTGCTTCTGTGCCACGGAAGGAGGGCATTTGGAATAAACTGGAGGAACCGCAGCTCCATTCTTTACACACTCTTTAAAAGACTGTGCATTCTGGATAAGCTAACCGACCGATTAGTGAAAATAAGTCAGCATGGTGGGAGATGGAGCAATGACAAAAAATTAGGTGGACAGAAATTGTGAGAGAAGAACATGGAGATGTCCGGGAAATAACGACAGGGTTTTACTGACACTGAAAGCCTGACCTGAACGAGTGCTGCTTCTCTCTCTTTGCTCTGACAGAAGAGAACATCGAAACAGTCTGTGCTGCGTGCACAAGGCTTCATTGCGCTTTGCAGGAAGGAGACATGCTCAGAAGTACCTTCAAGAGACGAAGCGTCCTCCTGAAGACCCTGTATAAATTGGTGGATGTTGGTTCAGACTTGCTCAGCCTTAAACTTGCAAAAATTATTCTAGCAGTAAGTTTTTCCTCTGGTAAACTATAGCACATAGACGTTTTAGTGCTTTATTCATAAATAATGCAAGGAAGATTAGAAATGCAGTGTGTTCTTTTAGAGTCTTGAAAAGAAATGAAGGTAAGAAACTGATACCCAGAGTCTGACTGCCTCAGACTATCTAAGGAACTGAGGCTGAGTATCTAGAAAATGTTCAAATAAACCCTTACATCTGGACTGTGGCTAGGTCAAAAAAAAAAAAAGTGACAACAGGCAGATACATTCGAAACAGCTGCTCAAGTGACTTGACTGCAGGTCAGAGTCCAGGCTGAGGTTCCTGCCCTGAGGTTCCTGCTGGGTGCTGGATTCTGTCACATGATTCTATAAGTAACTTAAGATAAACTGGGCCATGGACACAACGGCCAGACGCTTTATGAACTAGCACGAAACAGAGAAACAGCTGCGTGTGGTCATAGAGGTTCCTAAGGTGTTAGCAGAAAAGGCCGGATGCCAGATAACAGTCTGTAGAAACTCTGTCTCGAAGAAAATGATACCATTGTTTGAGGGGGGTGCTTGTTGCCACAGACATAAACAGTTGGAACCAAAAGATAAGACACAATTGTTATAGAATGTTCTAAGAGGGCTGCTAAACGAATGAAGCTTTGTTTGCCTGGATTCATAAAAGTGAAGCTACTGTGTTGACACCCATAATTCATATAAAGTCTGAAAGTACACAGTGAAGGTGAGTGTTGGCATACTTGCTGACGGTTTGATAAGAGTGCCCACCATTTATTTTGATGTCTTTCCTAAAGCAGAATGGTTCAGGCTATAGATTCTGTGTAATTTTTTGGAGAAGCTATATTCCTATTCGGCTGTCATCCTAAAGTCTTCACCTCTTTTTAAAAATTGTGATATGATGTGTCACTCAAAAAGCAACATTTCTTTGAAGTAGTGATTTCAGTAGCATTTTAATCCCTTCTCTATGATAATTGATTAATGAGCTTTAATGAGAAAAAAAAGGGCATAAACCACAGAGGCAAGTCAAGCGGAAAGCTGTGGGTAGAGAAGAGATACCCGCATGCGTGCCCACTTCCCTCCTGGCGCCAGTGCAGGGCGCCGTCCCAGGAAGCCCCTCTGGGAGGCCGGAGGGCCCCGCTGGTGTAGCCGCGCTGGGCAGGACCCGGGCAGCCCTCTGCCCAGGGGCTGATTGCCTTTGGCTCGCTGGCTGCTGGACCTTTTGCTCCAAACCAAGCCGAGAAACAACTGAGAGAAAGAGAAGGAAAACCTCACGGGTCCATAATGCTTCCAGGGAGAGTATTACTTGGTTAGTAAAGGTGCCATCCTACTCAGCTATTTTAGGGCAAAAGGCTAAGTGACCTGCCGGGCAGTGGACACATTCTGAACTGACCATATGAGGCGATAAAGCCCAGTCCGTGACACTGACTCTGCCGCGCAGTCCGGGGCAGGTGCGGCAGAGGGCAGAGGTGGGCAGGCTGCCCCCTGGTCAGCGGCGGAGCCACCGGTCGGGCCGCCTCAGGTCATCGAGTCCAGCCGCCTGCCTGCCTCCCAAGTCTCCTGGACGCTCCAGCCAAGACGTCAACTGAGGCTTTGGTGACGGGGTCTGCGTGATTTTTAAATCACATCATAAAGAGCCTTCGAGAAAAAAAACCTCAACCACAAAACTGAAGGTAGACGGGCCCTAGATGTTTTTCATGACTTCTTTCTGGCAATATTTATTTTACCAACCAGTTTACTATTACAATTCAGAAATTTTAGATTGTCTGCACTTTAATTTGGTGAACACGTCGGTTCTGCTTTCTTGCATTCTTGGGCCGAGTGGGGGTTGCCAGACAGCCCTTTTCATTTTAACCTTGGATTGGAAAAATCTTAATGTATCTGTCTATAGTAAGACTTTTTAACATACCAGCATATATAAAGTATGAATACCACTATATTCAGGAGGGGAACAAAATCTAGCAGCCTATTCAGGGGAAAAAAACAGAAAAGAAATACCAGTATTCAGCACTGATTAGAGGTAGCGTTATAAGTGTTCTTAAACTTCTCTTATTTTCCAAATTTGCTTTAAATAGGAAAGACTGCTATTTTTAGCATAAGAAGGAAACTACCCCCTACAGGAACCTACGCTGTGCCAGGGCCTCTGAACGCTGGGGCTGCGAGTGAATCGGGTGGGGCGGTGCCGTGGGCTGGGGGGAGAGCCGGTGTAAGTAAGGCAGCCTCCAGCCCTTGCATATCACTTAATATTTTGTATCTTTTCATGTCTCATTGCATATGACTTAATATTTTATATCTTTTCATGTCTCAAAGTTATATTTCTCAGTCCTCAAAAGGAAAAGTATAGGAATTTGCTGTGAATGTAAACTGACCTTATAGCAAGCTGAGAAATTGTACATTTGTGTTTGATTGACTTGTAATGAAAACCCTGACACTAATCGTGTTCTTTTCCTTTGCCATATTTCACTAAAAATACAAGACTTGTTGGGGGTGGTGGGGTGAGGCTAGTGTATTCATTCATTTATTCAACCAGTTTTATTAAGTAAAACACATGCTACATGTCACACATAGTGTGAATACACTGTGGTGTTGACCTCAGAGGCTCACAGTTGTCAGCTGACTAAAGCGTATTCCCAAATACTAAGGACAATGTATGTTTCCATTGATAAATAATTTTTTTCTATTTTCTGGGTTTTTAACATTTTTTAAACACCTAATCATTAAAAATTGTTCTGAAGTTTCCTTTCCCTTGGTTCCTCCCGACGACAGAAGTCTCCGTTCTGCCCTGCGTGAGTCTCTGAGCCTCCCACGAAAGCTTCTCGGGTCCGCCTGTGCAGGTGGGCCCCCAGGGGCCAGTCACAGTGCGGAGTCTGGCTCCGTGCGGCCGGAGATCCTGCCTTTCTAACATGCGCCAAAGCTTTTCAGGGGGACAATGGGAATGGCTGCCCGTCCACAGGGTGGCACTGGAGAGGGCGCACAGTGTTCCTGCCCGTGCCCGCTGCTGACTGGCCCTCTGGCCCCTGCCTCTGGCGTCTCCTACCTGAGCAGACAGTGCCTGGTACACAGCAGGGGCTCAGTCATCTTTGTGGATGAGATACACAAATGAGGTTTTTAAAAACTTGTCTGACAAAGTCCATTATCTTTTGAAAATAACGAACTCAGTAATAAAGTATTGAAGATAATTTTAAAGATACCTTTCAATGATAAAACTAACCCATATGCCATCCTTTTCACACAGATGTAGGTATTTGTTCAGATGACCTCATTCCTACAAACATGTTTCACCCTTGCAGTGAGGCACATAATCTTTCCATCTTATAGCAGGTGTCAAATGTCTGCTTACGCAGCGTTCACAGTTACGCTCTCTGTGACTACTTAAATGAGTGGTATTGATGTTCCACAACTTATTAAACTATTCCCTAATGTTGGACATTTAGGATTCTTTTTTAAAAACGCTAGTTTTCACTAGGTAAATGTCCAGCTAATTCTGCCATTTGATGCAGTCAGTCCTCCTATACTGTTGCTTTAAAGTATATTTCCATGTTGCCCTTATGTTTAATTTACTTGAGTATTTTTGTATGATTCAGAAGGTAATTTTAAACTTTGAACAATATTTGCAATTATCTCAAAGCCTTCCAGAAATAGCCTTACAAAGTAAATACATATGTATTACCTATGGAAGGAATATTACCTTTTAATTTTCTTTATACAAACAGTGCCTTCCCCTTTCTTTCCTTCGTTTCCCCATGTATTCTTTTCAAAATTAATTTGACCTGAAGTTTTGGTGCCCATCTTCCTTTGTATGTTTCAGCAGTTACTCCATTTAATTAAATTTATCACCATCGTTCCGCCCTTTATCCTCATGTGCTTTTTAAAAAGTAACCGATAATCTCACATACGTGTATGAGGCTTTATGAAGAAATAAATGCTTATCAAAAGTACTTACTCAGAAGATCATTGTATTTACTATAAATGAGTTAATTAAATGCCATAAGTTGGCAAATATGTGGCCTAAACTTTTCAAAAATGATTTCTTTGAACTTTTGTGTTTTAAAAATACTGTTGCTGTACTTTTAAAATAGATGTTTATGTTAAAAAGTATGGCATGTCTTTATTTCCCTCTGCAACAGAAATGTGTTTTCTTTCTCTGCAGCTTAAAGTGAGTAGAAAGAATCTTCTGAATGTCTGCAAACTTATATTTAAAATTAGCAGGAATGAGAAGAATGACTCTCTGATTGAAAATGACAGCATTCTGGGTGAGTGTCATTCACTGCGACCACTGGGCACATCATGCTCTTGAGTGTGAGTGAGGAGTTTAGAGAGCAAAGTTCTGACTGATGACAGCTAGAATGATATTTTCTACTGATATGCAAAAGTTGTGCCACGTCTGGTTTTGCTCTGTGCCTCATGTTTTCCACATTCCGTTCAATGTATCCTTTGGAGCCCAAGAAGGGAGTCAGCTTTTTTCTTGTTTTAATGCCCTTAGTAACATTATGTGACATTACAAAGTGTATTTAACACTTTGTTTCCCGGTCTTGAATTTACTATTAGAAAAAACAGACTAAATAGCATTTGACATAATTAAAAATTTTGATCTTTTGATGTAGTAGGAATGACTGAGACTTGGGGGACCCTTATGACTATTGCAGAAATTTGACAACAAAGTGTCTCTAGTGTTTCAAATATGTAGGTACAGAACTTTATTACATTCTAACCACCTAGCTGATAATGTCTGATTCTTTATATACCCTTAAATAATTAAGATGCTTGAATAGTTACCTAGCTAGAAATCTCTTATGAATTAGTATTGCTGATCTAACAAAGGTAGCAATATGGAAAATACTTTGAGCCTTCATTTTGCAACATAGGATATATGATTTCTTACCTTCTTTCTTTTTTAACCTCAGCAAGACAGGGATAAAGCCAGTAGTTAAATAAAGGTGTAACACTGAATCAGCTAAATGATAACTGTAGACTGAAACAAAGATTCTGAAAAATGATCATGTTGAAATTAACAAAATTAAATGTGAGATAGGCATGATTAAGTTTACCAGAGTTGTCTGAATTACTCCTAACATCAAGTCATTGTGTGTTATTTGGATGGATATTCTTAAGTTGTCCTGGGAAAGAGTGAATGTTATATTCTAAGTATTCCTTTCTATGGCAATTGAGATTTTTTTAAGAGATCCAGTCTTGATTAATTTTACATTCATATAGCAACCAGTATATTCTTAAAAGTTTGATGAAATTTAACTCTTAAATTGCTTTACTTATTAGTCACTCTATAATTCAAAACTTTCATAACTAAAAATAAAGGTTGGTAAATATTAGTAAGAGGCAAAGAATATTTAATTAAAGGAAAATTTTCTTATTTACATATTAGTAATCCCATCCATCTGCTGTCATTACCATTATAGAGATAAGTTTTCACTAAAAGTAAGCATTCCTCTTTATATCATAGGAGTGACGCTTAACCAGCATTTGAATGTAGGTTCTTACTAACGTTTTACAAATTGTGTCTGATGCTCCCATATGAGCACTTTAATATGTCTCATTCTGTCTGTGGCTATCCTCGTATATGTGTGATAATCCCTCTTTTTGGCAGAGTCGTTATTGGAGGTCCTGAGAAATGAAGACCTGCAAGCTAACTCGGAGGCTTTTTTGTACTGTATGGGGGCCATCAAATTCATCTCTGGAAATCCAGGATTTCTTAATGAAATGATCAGCAAAGGTGCTGTGGAAATACTGATGAATTTGATAAAGCAAATAAATGAGCACACCAGGAAATGTGGTACATGTTTGCCTAATTCAGGCCACTTGTTAGTCCAAGTAAGTATTTTACTTGAGGTTAGAGGTGTAAAATTAGTTTGCATGGTATTAACAGAAGTTACCTGCCGGGCGGTTGTAGCAGGTCACAGGCGGGCTGTTACAGCCAGCCAGGTGGGGGTGCCTGGCTTTGGGGACCAAGGGTGGTAGCCACCACCCCACCTCTGCACTTTGTGTGCCCACTTCCTCTGGAAAGCCTGCTCCACAACTTTTCACAGAGCAGCTCCACCCACAGCTCGTGGACATCCGTTTCAGCTAGTCTGTGAGAGAAAGCAGGCCCACAGGAGTGAAAAACAGCACCTCTGTGCAAAGCAATTGCATCTATAATATGCAGTGGTGTGTGTGCACTGATAAAAGTATGGATGTTCATGGAATACACAGCGGCGCATGGGGTGACAGAGTATGAATGCTCATGGAGTACGCAGCAGCCTGCACGCGGTGACAGTATGCGGTGCTCATGGAATACATACAGAGTATGCAGCGCGCAGACGTTCAGCAGTCAGTTTTAGCTTTTTAAGATAAGTTTAGCCTGGATGTTGTCCATGGCGATGGTAGCTAATGCCACACATCTTGTATCTTCACTGAAAAACAGAAGTCAGTAACGAGCGGACAGTTGTCGAAGGGGCATGTAGATGACATGCAGGCCTGAGCCAGGAATGGAGGTGGCAAAGCTGGACATGTGACATGACCAGAGCAGGGAGGAAAAATGTGTTGTTAGTTTTATTACTTCTTTGTGCAAATTAAAGTTCATAGTGAAATTATCGTCACCGGAGCTCCTTCAGCTCTCATTCATTCTTAGACGGGATTTTACTCTAATGGCATTTGGCTATCAGGCCATAGCATCTTTGACGTAATAACTCATGAGATTTGAAATGCGCTTGTCAATTTGCGAGGCTTAATGGAGCATCAGAGTGCCTGAAGCCTTCAGGAAAGTGTGTTGAAAATTAGATTTAGGCCCTGTGTTAAAGATATTCAAAGTGTTTATGGTGATTATGGATTTTGGACTTTGTGGTCTGTCTCCGTTTTGGAAAAAGATTGTAAAAACCTCTTCTAGTCATAAACGGTTCAGAATTCTACTGGAGGTGTATCTTTTGGCTGGGAAGATTTAGACACGTTATCTTCATGCTGCTGGTGTTACTGAGTCATTCAAATTTTTCCCTCAACGAAAATGCGCTTTGTGCACATGTGTGATGTTTGTGATTCTGGGTTTTCGCCGCAGACCATTCCGCCTTGAGTCGGGGTGTTTGTTTCCCTCGCCCCCTCGTCCTGCTTCTCCCCTCGGCCCACCCAGTGAGCCAGCGCTGTTTGCACTGAGGCGCCAGCACCCTTCCATGCACTCCTGAGTTCTCAAAAACGGGGTATTCTGTGCACTTCTCTTTCTGACTTAACAGTGCAGGGGACAACCCCCTGTAGACTGATTTTATCCTTCTCGGTGGCTGTGTTTATTATTACTGTGACCAGAAGTAGGTCCGGACCCGACCGCCTGGTGTGGCTGCAGGGGTGCAGTGCACGGCCCGAGCGCCCCTCTTCTTTCCCTTTCCCCACCACCCACCATCCCCTTTTCCTGTCTTGACAGCTGCGCACCCCTGCAGGGGGTCGTGGGCGGGGTCCTGTCACAGCGTCCTCCTGGCCACGCACCGCCACTCACCACGTGCTGGCCTGGGTCCCCAGCCTTCCTCTGAACCTGCCCAGGGTCCAGTGCGGGTGGGGCTGACCGGGCCTGAGGCCTTGCTCTGGACACAGTCGGCGCCCCAGTCCTGTCCCAGCCTCAGCAGGACAAAGTGGAGCCCATTTCTGCTGCCCCTGAGATGCGCCCGTGCTGTAGTCCCCGGGCTCCGTGTGCAGGAACCGCAGTGCCACCGCGCTCACAGGTGTGGGGGGTGTTGTTTCTGGCCACCTCATTTGCAGAATCCCCTGAGCTGCACATTCCTTCACACTTAATTAAAACAAAAATGATTCTGTATCCTCTGATTGATAACATGTGAGCAGCCCGACTCCACCTTCACTACGGGAGCAGAGGAAATCGCTCCTCCGTGTGCAGCCCTGCCTGGCCTTCCATGTGCCAACTCAGCCCAGCAGGCCTGGCCTGCGCAGACAGGTTGCTTACACTCACCCCCAGAACTTGGCACCTCGAGCTCGTGAGGCATGTTTTACAAGCAACTTTGTTCAATTGGAGAAGTAAATCAATACTATGGCCATGCCAATAAAATAATATCTGTAAGCCAGCGAGAGGTGAGGCAGGAAAGATGAAGGCCGGCGGCTGTGGACAGCGGAGACGTCCTCCGCTTTGTGACTTCGGCCCGGAGAGCTTCCGCAGCCGCTGGCACACGCTCTGTGACTCAGGTCACCCTGGTTCTCTAAAGCCGCCCTGCGGAGGCCGCTGAGAACAGGAAACCTCTGAAGCTAGACCCTGACGGTCATGTGGGATTTGGGGAACTGGCACTGGGGGTGTTTTGGGGGTGCTGGGGAGGCAGGTCTGTCAGAACAGAGGGGATCTGCCAGGGGGGTGTTGGGGCACAGGAGGTGGGATTCAGAGGCCTCAGCCGTGGGTCGCAAATCCCAGGACTCGGAGCAGCAGAGAGCTGCCGGAGGGCGTGCATGGGGAGGAGACGGGCTCAGACCGGCAGGGGAGGGGGGCTCGCAGGGCTTGGGACGAGGAGGGCCCGAGGCTGAAGGGGAGGGCACGGAGGGTGGAGGGCGTCGGCGTTGCCAGAGGAGGGCCGAGATCCCACACGCGGGAGCCCCAGCACAGACGCAGGGCTACATTTTGGGCCAAGGGCACGAGGTCAAGGAATGGGGGTGAAGGAGGACCGCCGCCCTGTCATGCTGCCTGCAGGAAAAACTTAGCTTTGAGATGGCGAAGGTTCCTCTGCGTTGGTTCTCAGCCTGCGTACGTGCACACGGACGTGCTCTACACTGTGTGGCTGAACTGGAGACGGTGCTTTCGCCAGGGTTGCCGAGAGGCGGCCCTGCCAGGAGAGTCGCAGGGGTGAGTGACATCATGGGGGATGAGGCAGCCACCAGGAGGTGGTCTTCGTGCTGATCGCGGCCTTCTGATGCCCATTCTTTTGCAGAAACTGTGGTACTTCCACGTGTTCGGTCCTCCGTTCAGTTCTGCCGACCAGACATATGGCGGCATTCTGAGAAGGCTGGGGGAGAGGGTGGTTGTCTGCTCTAAGGGGCTGAGGGCGGAGGCCCAGTGCCCCCAGGCGGGCAGAACCAGGGACAGGATGTGTCTGTAACACCAAAAGAGTGAAGGAAGTTAAACTGTGCACGTTCACTGAATTCCAGAGCACGAGAATTTCAGGAGAGCTCCCAGAGACGGGAAGGAGAGTACGGGCCAGGGAGAAGGCAAACCCCCTGGGTGCCTGCAGCAAGCTGCGTCACCCAGAGAGGTGGCCGACAGACACGGGAACTTGCCAGCGTCAGTGTGGCCTCTCGGGAGGTGTTGGGGTTCGTCTCTCACTGCTACAGGCCGAGTGGGGCCAAGGAAAGTTGCTGGGTCACCTCCGTCGGAAAGTCCGCTGTGGAGTCTGTCAAGCCCCCGTCTGCGGCAAGGAGTGTTTTCTGTACACGTCACGATCACAGCCAAGCCCCCGTACCCTGGTGTCTCACTTGTCCTATGTTTTGAGACCCTTGTATACAAAGCTGCTTTACTGTAATCGAAGAAAATCTCAAGGTGCTCACTTTACAATTAGGTGATGTGCGAGTGTCATATGGAACTACGGACTGGAACCATGAAAACTCAGAATGACTTGAACTAACATTCCTATTTGTTTTTATTCCTTTGTATTGCCAACCTTTTTTCTCAACAGCTTGACCCTTTTGATTTTGAGCTGAGTCCTTAGAGAAACACCTCCGCTCTGGGCTTCAGAGAGAGCAGCGTGGAGCCCGCGCGGCCCTGCGGCAGCCAGCGGTGTGGTTTGCTACCCGCCCCACGGCCCCTCGGCTCCCACCCCTTCTGCGTCTCTGGCCTCCAGGCCTCCGCGCTTGGCCCAGAGCGCCCTCGAATCCCGGCCTTCCGCCTCCTTGCTGGGCACGTCGTCTTGCTCTAAGTGGGAATCTCTCCGAAGACCAGTCCTGCCGGCCCTTGTCAGCGCCCACTCCCTTTCTTCACTTCGACTTGGGTTTGGGGAAACGGAGAGTCAACTAAGCAAAGAAAGAAGATTTGGGCATTTTGAGCCTGATTGGCTCAGAAAATAATAATATCATGAGCACTTAGAGAGTTACACAAGGGACTGATCTGGTGAAAAGGGGGGAGGGGGTTACGTGATTCAGTCTTCATGTAAAACTGTAACGTGCCGGCGGAATAGCCAGCTAGGACTGTCCAGTAGGCGACTGGAGATATTAAATAATGCTTAGCAGAGAAGGCAAAGCTGAAAAATCCAGGCCATCTACACGGAGGTGACAGTTGAAGTCAAGAAAGGATGAAATCACTCAAGGGTTGGGCATAGAAAGAGAAAGAGCAGATTCCCCAAGATGCCTCCCTCGCCTGCGGAATGGGAAGTGGGAAGAGGAAGGGAGTGGCCCGAGAGCAGGGTGGGCAGCGCGCAGGGCAGCGGATGGACACGCCGGGTGGCCCGCTGTAGCAGGCGCTGGGGAGAGGCCCCAGGGCGAGGGATTCCGGGACGCGGTGTGGGCAGTTTGAGTAGGCAGGAGGTCCATGCTCTTTAAACGTTACATGACTTCTTTATCTCTGTATTTTGAAATTAAAAAATGTTTTGATACAAATATTTTTTAATTCCTAAGCCCAGAGTAAAGGTCCCACTTTGGCTGAGCTGAGTTCTGCTCCACTCCTCCCCTGCGCGAAATACTGTGTGTGCAGGAGCCCCGGGGCCTGTGTGCCTTCGTGCCCGGGGCTGGGCGGCCTCAGCACGGCGGCGTGGACTGGTGGTGAGGGCACAGTCCTCAGGGCCTGGGGGCCTGAGCTGGCACCGGGTCCCCCGCTCTGACCACGCTCTCCTCTGCTGTGATGTCAAGCTCCGGCTGGCTTTAAGAGTAGC